AAGTTTAATAATGAAATAATTTATTTTTGGTTTAATATTATAAATTTTATAAAGATAATAATTAAGTATTCTGTTAGAATTCAATGATTATCCTAATTATATTTTAGATTTTTTACATTTAAAATAAGATGTTTATCTTGCATTTGATTATGTTTATCTGCAGTTAGTTACACGAATTCAGATATGGAGCTTTAATAAGTTGTACTTACGCACAATCTATTTGCAATCTTGAGTTTTAAGTAATATGCATTAATAAACAGTACTTTACGCATAAAAAGTGGTTTTTAATATAATATAGATAATCAAATTTTATTTGATTTGAGTATATAAATTCTATTAATTTATGTTATATGTAGTTTATAGTTCAATACAGGGATTTTAAATGTCTTTTAAAAAAATAATTGAATATTTCATTTTTAAATGATTAAGTCCATGTTTTTTAATAACTAAAACATTAACTTTTTAGTAATTGGTTATCTACATTCTTTTAACAAAAAAAAAGCTGCAAGTAACTGACTAGAAATGTTTTTAAATAAAAATGGAAATTTATTTTTAGTTTTCAAATCTCTTGCATCCAATGACATCGTTCCCACTCGCCATCCCTTGTCGCTCCCATCATTTTCTGCTCTCGATTGTCATCGCCGGCTCTTACCACAAATTTCCCTCCTTTTGATTCGTCTTTTTTTTTTTTGGTCTTTAGAGGCCAAGCGAAAGATAAAAACATATAAAAAAGAGGGAGATCGATGGTAGAGGCAATGGCGAAGATGGAGAGCGGACGATGACGGGAAGCGATGGCGTGGCCGTTGGGTGCGAGTGATTTGAATGACGTATAGTTTGAAAATGATAAAATTGATTTAGGGTTTTTTTTACTGTAAAAATATTTATTGCCGGTTACAAATAACTTTACGTTAAAAGAATGTAGGTAGCTGACTTGTAAAAATTCGTTGGTTTATTTATTTACAAAATAAAATCAGGTACCTAATCATTTAAAATGAGAAAGTTCAATGGTTTATTTATCAAATAACAGATCAAAAACTTAATCATTCAAAAGAAAAAGTTTATTGGGTTTTTCTCAACCTTTCCCTTCAATATATTTATATAATAAAAAAGGTCAAAAATTAAAATAAAAAACGGTCCCATTTATAATTGGTTACCCAACTTGTTAAGTGACTAACGATCCCGAATGTGGCGCACCAAATTGCTCAAACGTAATTGTAAGTTTTTTTCATAGTTCATGTTGATAGATCAATCTATTCACACGTTATGCATAGACATGATTATCGTTAATATTGTGGAATGTCCCAAGCATCACAAGTTTAAAAATAACGTTTGTATTTCGTTCTCAGCCATTTTCCACAATTTCAGTGAGTAAGGGGGAGAACGACCCTTTTTTTTATATCTTGGTTGAAGATCTATTTGAATTAACGTTATCATTTGTGGATTATCTAAGAATCCGAACGACAAGTCGACGACCCTTTTAAGATCACCAACTTTGTTGTCATACTATGTTGAACTTCGCGTCATAACTTCAAGTTATTTCGTCTTTACTAATTTACGTTTGAGCCAAATCAGTAGCAGTTTTTTCGTTGCAATATAATGCTTTTCCACATTTTAGAATAAAAATTATCTTTTATTAAATGATTATTACAAAAAAAAAGAGAAAGATCGTACAAGAAGAGATCTGGACTCTTTCACTTTTAATTTCACACCCATCCCATGAGTTGCGTTTCTCATGAGAATTGATCTGATGCATCTCATTAAGATTGATCTTCGATCAAGATTGATTCAAGTATGGAGGTCCCTTCTTACCCTTCTCATCATAACTTCCATTCACCAGAACCCAACCCTATAAAACAAATGTTTTAACGTATTCTAAAACATTATTACAAATAAATCCTATGAAATGTCATGAAATACCATCTCTGTACCTCATAGGATTTCTAAATCCAATATCTGTGTGATTTCAATTCTGAACTTTCCTTCAAACCCAGTTCCAAATCCCACAAACCAAATGAGCCCTAAGATTCCAACTTCATCCTCTCCTCAAATATTTCGTTTGAAAGTAGAGACAAAAGATATGATCTATGTAGACATTTACTCTAACCCAAATATTTGATAGATAATCAAATAACAGTTGGATTTCCGCTTTTGGTTTCAAGAATATTAGAAAGATTGACCAAACCATATTATTCTTTCATAAATGACACGAAAGAAAGAACATAAATTGTTCCGTCTTTGATATCTGTATCTTAAAAAAAACGTCACTCAAAAAGAGTGACGGAGGAGTCACCTAGACTAGTTAAATTTACTGGTCGGATACGTGCTCGGGACAACACATATGTTCAACTGATGCTTAATTATAAAACAGCAGTTTGCAGTTTGCACTGATGTTCACCTCCTTACCTGTTAGATTAACAACCAGTATTCACCATCACATTTTGTTGATCTTAAAAGGGTATGATATGAGAAACTAGAAGAGATGTGAAAAATGAAACCTCAATGTAACATCTATGATCATTAACAAAGAATCTTGGTAGTTTTCATTTGCACTTACAATACAAGAATAAATTTGAGCAAACCTCATGAAAAACCTCAAGTATAACACCATGGAATTCCTCAGAATTCATCGATACATAACAATTCAAAAGCCGACGGAGATCTTTAGGCTCGGAAATCCGGTTTGCCGTGATCATCTCCATCATGGATTCTCGAAAATCTTCTCGAAGATTATAAGACAATTTCTCCATAGCCACCATCACAAACAATCTGTTACTACTCTCTTCTCTTACCCTTCTCCTTCTCTCTTCATATCTTCTTTCCTGCCTTTCTCTAATTATTTGGTCTAATCTTTCTTGAACCATGGCGTGTGCCAGGCTCGAGACTGTCGGGAAACGGTCGGATTTCCCGCTTTCGGCTTCTTCGGAAGAAGAAGAAACACTGAGCCTGCAATTGCAGCAGAATGTCCTGCATCCTTTATATGGAAGTTTTTGCTTCTTGAGAAGCCCTCTAGAGGTTTGCATTTTGGCAGAGCAGAAGGTTATCAGGACAGAGTGTGAGTAAAAAGATATATATCCATATACATATATGTATATATGTATGTATATAGCCAAGTGACTAAGTGACCAAAAGCAAAAGAAAAAGAAGGTCAAGTAGGAGACTTCATGATTGTGTCACTAAGAATAACACTGAAGCTCCAATTAGTGAGCAATCCTGTATCTTCTCACAAATTGAACAGTGTGATTGTGAATATGGAGTTGATTAAGATTAAAAATGGGTCTACAACTAATAATTACTTGGTTAAGACCAACATATAGCTTAATCCATACAAAGCTTAATGAAAAAATAATCAAACAGCCCCTAAGATATTTATCTATTACCCCGTTCTGTTTGAATATATCTTATATTATCATCGGTCTTAATATCTGTATAGTGTCACATAATTTACCAAATATAGTAAAACTCTACCAACGTTCATGAACACGGATAAATCGTTCAACCACAAAAAAAAAGTGTATAATATTCTTGATTCTTGTAGGCTTTGCAGCTAGTACTCCCTTTGTCCCAAAATATCAAAATAAACGTCAACACAGTTTTAGAAATATGTAATTATTACGCTTTTTATTTTAACTAAATGACAATTTTACCCTTAATAATAGAGAGTAATGAATTTCTCAATCTCATAATTAATGATAGAATTGGAAAGTATGCACTTCTTTTTGAAAGTGGACACTTATTCTAAGAAAAAGCTAAAATAAAAATGTCGACGCTTATTTTGGGATAGAGAAAGTATTAGGTATGTTTGTCTAACTAATGATCCTAACGGTACCTAGTGATAAAAACATCTTATATTTGGTGAGGTCAAAGGTTCAAGTCTGGGCCATGTCACAAGTTTGAGCCCCGTCACTTCTCTCAAGTAAGGAGCGCACAACACTTGATACATACTCCATCCAATGAAAAGCAGGACGCCACCCTCTGCACTGCTCTCACTATACCGGTCCCACAACCATCATGAGGGAGATAAATCATCTGTCCTAGGGGCAGGTGGGTGGTGTCAAAGTCAAACCTCATGCCTCTCATTCTGCAAGGTTGCACACCTGCTTATCCGCTAGGCTAAAGCCGTTCACAACAACAATGACCATGAAATTTTCAACATTACCAACTTTTAAAAAAGTTTTTGACTTACAATTACATATCCATCTATTGTCATCTTTACAGTAAATTAGAATCATTAAGTTGGCTTCAAAGGATTTCCTTATTATGTTAGGCAAACAATTAAACAACACTAGCTTAAAACTAGGATATACTTATTTTAAGTAGGTGCATATGGCACATGAGTACCTCTTGTCATTTAAAAAAATACCTGAGCTAACACAGCACATGGCCTCATCATTGAAACAATCCTTTTTACTCCAAAACTGAACACTATAACAACTTATTCTGCATCTCATGCTCTGCCAAACAAGCCCTTTTAGTCACTTTTTTAGTACCCTATTGATGTTTGGTGAGCTGCTGATATGGCAGCAGCAGCATCACTCCTTGAAGAAACTTTATTACTTTGCAGGGTTCTTTACTTTAGTTATTCTCTACTAGTGAATCATGGGTACAGAATGATTAATACTAAGCCACTTTAATCAAAGCAAGATATATAATATTATCTCCATTAAGGATTAATTAACTTCAAGAAATCGATTTTTGTCGGGGTTATTGGATAAAGGTGAGATTAGTATGTGCTGTTTTTTAGGTGTTCCCAAGTTCCCCTCACTCTTGCTTGCTTGATCCTGAGTCCCTAATCATGCTAAGAATCACAAGAGGATTGTACAACTAGATAGAATCTCCTCTTTAAAGATTTCTTGTTTCTTATCTAACCTCTTAGGGTGCGTTTGGTACACAAACAAGACTGGACCGAACAGGACGGGCTAGAGAAGGTACGCAGGTATGTGGAAAAATTGTGCAAGGTCTTACGGGTTTTAATTTGACATGGGTAGTTTAGTAATTTACTAACCTTGTCACATCAACCTGGTTTTTTCCACCTCTTTGGTGGGAATGTATTTTTGTCCCCCTCAATCTGGTCCTGTCCCAGTCTAAATATTGCACTAAACATGGAACAGCAACTTTTTGTTCTGCCCTATCCCGTCTTGTCCCACATACCAAACACACCCTCCTGATACACACGATAGATAGAGGAAGCTTTTAGAGTTTGTAATTGGTGCTTAGGCAGCATTTGGTCCGCAGATAGGATACGGCAAGAGAACATGACAGGACTGTATTGAACAGGACAAGGGATGCCTTTTAAGAGCTATTCTATTCATACATCAGATCCATAACAACAATTAAGCCAAATTCTTTGAAAAAACTTTAACTAAATGGACTAAACCACCAAAAGTGACTCATGGAACAGTGGGAATACTTTTTTGGCATGTAAGAACACAACAATCTCATTCTCCTTTTAGGTTAATTCAATACCCATTTGTTGATTTTTATCCACTAGCTATGTTTACTTCATATCATCGTCTCGAAAACCAACAACCAATAAAATAACAAAACAAATGTGGGATATTATCTTCAATGAATATTTCTTTCAGGCATTTCATCGAACACCATCCATTATATCATTTTCTTTATGGAATCAAGCAAAGGGGACCACAATAATAACTTCATTTCCAAACCCAGAGGCCAATTTTTTTTTGCTTTAAAAGAAGATACAATCAAGAAAGTAATGAATAACAAGGCCTTGCATCGAACACCCGATTCATTGACACCAAAAAGGTCAAAAACATAGAATTCAAAAAGAACACAAAATGCAATTTTTGGTGTCAATCAAAAATTAGAAACATTCAAATTATGCCAAAAAGAAGGAAATAAATTTCTTCAACACCTGCGATCAATTAATAATACTCACTGCATACTTGGAATCACTAATTACTTTTCTTCAATTGCTCGGTTTTCCCTTGAGGCTGTTTCGCTGTAGCTAATTTATAAATCCCAAAGACCTTGAACAAAATAATAATGGAAAATTGGAAGGAATTAGAGATCTAATTAAAATGGGATGAATCAGAATACAAAATGTGCGACTACCAATGCGAGGACGTGAACTGCTATCAATAAAAGCGCCACGAAGGTCGACGCCTCGAGAATCCATGGCTGATTGGAGCTCTTCTGCTGAATTGCCATTTTAACGACTGTGTGAGATTATGCTTCTGTACAGATTTGGAAATCAAAATATTCTCTTGAAAAAACATACAACTATTCTTGATTTTCTTGATTTTATGTTAAGGTGCATCAAAATTTAATTAACCTTGTTTAGTTTTTATTTGAGCAAATTGGGTGGAAAAAAAAAGCAGATAATTTATCTTGATTTCTATTTTGGGTAATTTATTTTTAAAACTTTTATTTTGATATCTAACATGTATAATTTTAAATATTTAAGTACTCGAACAACCTGTTGAAACATTAACCGGTTATATGTTGATGTGGTATGTATCTAACTCAGTATTATTGGCTATTCAACCTAATTTTATCTCATCATTCCCTATATCAACATAGTAGTCGGTTAATGTTTCAACCGGTTATCCAAATACTTAAATGTTTAAAGACAAAAAGTTATTAAAATAATATATTTAGAGAGTATGATTGAGATGCTTTGAATAAAACAAGTTGGAAATGAGATTTTTACAAGTCAATCAAAATATTACAAAAGACATGTTAAAGACATTTGATTTCAAAAATGTCAAATCTGTTGAAACTCTAAGGAACACTGGGTGTTTGGGTTTGCTTATTTGAAACAACTTATGCTTTACTACAAAAGTCTTTATCAACTTATTATAAGTTAGAATGATTTAACTTCTTCAAAAACTTACCGGTTTGACATTGGTGTAAGCTGTTTATCCAAACACCAAAAAAATGCTTATTACTGGTGTCACACCAGAATAAGTCAGTAAGTTGTTTTTATAAGCAATCCCAAACATCCCCTAATTTGAAATTAATAGGTGATGAAGAAGGAAACGATTTTAACGAATTTTTTTTTATCGTGGAATAATTGGTAGTTTACTTTATTTAACAGCTCGTAGGCCATATATCATGTATAGTGTTGTGTTTATGTGCTCGTTTTCAGTCTTCGCCTAAACTATCTCATAATAAAACCATAAAAGCATACTTTTTAGATATCATAGAGGTACAATAAATCTCAGATTATGGTATACAAAAAAGCCCGAGTTGGAAGTAACATGCTTCATCGAACCTGATCTTGGTGGTCGGCTTAATTTGTTGAACGGAAGTGTAGTAGTGCAGCATGTGCCTTTATAGGTCCATCCCTTATGTCTTGTTTTTCCAAGAAACAACAATCAGTAGTGTTGTCTACTAACAAAACGGAATAAGTAGTCGCTGCTAGAGCGTGTGCTCAACTGCTTTGGATGAAACATACGTTTACTGGTATGGAGGTACATTTGATCAAAGTTCCAGTTACGTGTTAAACATGCCTGAGTACAACCCTTAAGGTTTTGTACCTTCTGATTATATGCGTATTTTGAGGGGGATCCTAGTGTCTTTCACAATCCTTTTTGCTTCAACAAAAGAGGGAAGGAAATGATCACCTCTCTAATGTTGTGTTTGTCACCATCAAAAAGGGGGAGATTGTTAGTGCAAGTATGCTACATCTCTATATCTGATTTGATGATTACAAACAACCCGCATTATATTGTTTATGTAACATTTCACTTGATGTGAATATATAAAAGTTACAGAAATATAAGTTGTCGCCTCGGGAATCATGCTGCATTACCTTAACATCTGTGTCAGGTTTTAAATTGCATTGGATTGTGTGTCAACCTCAAATTAATGATCAAATACGAGAAGACACAACGGAACAAGAATATTCAAGCGACACGTAGGAATACACTGGTTCATGCTTTATATTCCAACTCGGATCAGTATTACCGATCAGTTTTATCGGACTTGTTTTTATAAAAAGTTGAGAGATTTTTATAGAATGATGTTCATAAAATCATATTTTTAAGCAGTTGCACTTTTATAAGATGATAAAGTGTAAGAATGACTTTTTAATCGTGTTACTAAAAACCAACAACAATTGCTATCTCCAAAAATATGAAAAACGTCCCCGAATAGCTAAATCTTTCTCGTGCCTCTAACTAGCATTCAACTCATCACAATATCGCTAGTACTATAAAATACTTGCTTCTAGAACCAAAAGTTGAAACCCACAAAATGAAAAGTTTTTTTTTTTATTAATCTGGATATCCAACCCGTTATGCAAGCCGATTAACCTCAGAGCGATCACCTGTTTTGCAGATAGCCCGGAGTCACCGCATTTGAACCTCCATGGCCACAAGAGGATTTTTATTCCTCTCTGGATTTGAACCTGAGACCTCATGGTACTTTTGACCTTTGGAGCCAAGCTCAAACCAATCAGGCATCACCCTTATGGTTAAACCTATAAAACGGAACCCTCTGTCTCTCCATCCTCAAAATCCGAAACCATAAAATGAAACCTAATTCATGTTTCTGAAACCATCAGCGCTATCACACATTTGCCATCTTTGCTCAAATCAAATACTTGCTCAAATCAGAGTTTCTTGTACAATAACCCAACGAGGGAGAGGTTCTTATGAGAACTCTCCACAGTGGTAGTTCCTACAAACAACTTCACTTTTTGCTTATAAGAATCTTGCATTGAAAATGCTCTAATAGATAAATAAAAAAAGCAAGAAAATTATAAAACACATGAAAATACCTTTTATTTAAGGGCAAATTGCATAAAAAGTAAAGTACTTTAACTTGATTCATATTTTGGGTAACATACTTTTAAAACTTCTATTTTGATACCTAAGATATAAAGTTTTAAACATTTAAGTATCCGGGTAACCGGTTGAAAACTAATTTTATATTAAAAAAGACTAATTTTAGATTAAAAAAATCCATGTCACTAAGCACGTCAGCAAATAATACTGAGTTGGATATCACATCACTCGCCATATCAACATTAAAACTTTATATCTTATATACCAAAATGAAAGTTTTAAAAGTACGTTACCCAAAACAAGAATCAAGTTAAAGTACGTTATTTTTTCTTGCAATTTGTTCTTTATTTAACGAAACAAATTCAAAATTCAACGAATAAAGAAAATAAAAATCATAGAAATTATAATTTGATTAATAAAAAAAAATTCGAGGGATGAATCTTAATATTCATATAATCATGTGGACGATATTTGTAATAATCTAAAACTGAAAAAAGAAAGAAAAAGCAGAGACCAGAAGGACACTGTGATTCTCTCCACTGTCGATCGATGATCAATGGCTCCGCCTTCTCTACTAGCTAACGGCGGTGGTATCACCACCGGAAAGTCGATGACTAGCCGTATGGCTTCAGTTTACAGCGAAGTGCAGAACAGCCGTCTCGACCATCCTCTTGCTCTCCCTTCCGTTTTTAGAAACCCTTTCAAAATCGTGGATGGTCCAGCTAGCTCCGCTGCCGGAAATCCAGGTATTTCTTAATTTAGAAACGTAGGATTCATGACACTTGTACAAGAAAAGCTATTTATGCCAAAATCAAATATGATCGGACTCTTTATTATTGATTGATTGATAATATATTCCGGAATTCAGATATTACTGCACTGGATTGTTTAATGAAACTAAAATCATTGTTTAGAAGTTAATTAGATCTTCAATTTATTAGTTTTAGCAGTAGGTTTTGATCAACCTTTCACAAAAGGAACTTATGTGTTGTGGATAAAAAGCATCGCGTTATTTTTGGAAGTAACTTTTTATTTGGCCACAGAAGATCGAATTGTGAATACTTTTATGAGGGCATGGTTTAACTGGGAACTGTTACATCGAACATAGACTATGCCACATTTGCTTTACAATCTTTGGAGATTATAAACACGCCATAAGGTGGTCAAATGACATTATGGCAAGAGGGTGGCATCACCCCTGTTTAAAAGATGACAAGATGTTTCAGGTTTTCTGGAAAATGGCTACTTTAAAATACCATATTGAAGATGAAGGTGAAGAATTGCTCTCCCACATGAGAGTTTGAGTGTAAACAACAAAGAGCCGGGTGGGGTGGGGTGGGGGGGCTGCTGGCCAAATATCTGGCAGCTAGAGATGGTGAATTTGAAATTTCAACTCTTTTGCTGAGAGCTTTTATAGAGAGAGAGAGAGAGAGAGGTGATCACACCCTTTTATGTTTTCTGGATAATCATTTTGATTTACTTGTCCTTTTTCTCTCAAAAAGTCGTCGCCTCTTTCTTCTTGTTGTTTGCAATAACCGATGGTTATAGAAGGATTTTGACTTTAGTTTTATTGTCATAGATGAAATTGCAAAACTTTTCCCATCCCTTTTTGGGCAGCCATCGGCAATGTTGGTGCCTGGTGAATCTAATGAATCAGGAACAGCCTTGAAGATAGGAGTTGTGTTGTCTGGAGGGCAAGCTCCAGGAGGGCACAATGTTATATCCGGGATTTTTGGTCAGGATTTTAAACTTTCATTGCCTATTTTTCATTTGTTTGAAAAGAATAATATTATTTAATTGAGAATTTTATCATTTCTCCCTCTGCCCTGTGTAGATTATTTGCAGGAACGCTGCAAAGGAAGTACCGTGTATGGATTCAGGGGTGGACCTGCTGGGATCATGAAGGGAAAATATGTGGTCTTGACCCCTGAGTATATTTATCCGTACAGAAATCAGGTAAATTGTTTGGTATCACAGACACACACAGTATAGAGAAAACACTCAGTTATGGGGCTAAATGCTTCATCTTATTAATGCCACCAGAATGGTTACTTAAATACACGTATAGGGAAGAAACGAACTGAACAAAAAAGGGAAACAAACTCCTAGTCTATAGGAGGGGACGGGAATAATTCAAAAATAAACAAACTCTTCCTGTAAAACAGGAACTTATTCACGTGACCATGTTTAACACATTCCAACATACCTTCTCCTAAACTAAAGACTCTCAACTTTAGTTTATCTCAGTTGCTTCCAACATGCCCAGCATAGCTCGCAGCTTCTCATACCGATCAACCTTCAACGGTTTTGTCATGATGTCTGCTACTTGAGCTGAAGTGTTACAGTACCTCAACTCTATTGTTCCATCATTCACCAAATCACGAAGGAAAAAGTACCTCACATCTATGTGCTTGCTTCGATTGTCCATAACAGAATTTTTTGAAAGCTTTATAGTTGACATGTTATCACAATTAATAATAGTACCT